CTCAAATATGTACCACAGGTAACCCAAACAATGTAAACTCTCCATCTCAAAATGGCGGACGAGGCGATTCTCCAAGAATACTTAGAATCGGCTGTTGRCATTGCGAGAAAAGCGGGAGAGGTAAATTGAAATGGTTATGGCATTTAAAAGAACTATATTTATTTATGTTTCATACCGTTTCTAGGTTATTAATGAAGCTTTCCACAAGGACAAGACAATATCAACGAAGACTGCTTTAACAGATTTGGTGACGGAAACAGATCAAAATGTGGAAAAGCTTATCATTGGGACACTCAAAGATAAATACCCTACACACAGGTAGTTACCTTGTCTATTGAGTCTTAAGGTGCTGAATTTTACTCTTTGATTATTGTATGTGGAAATCAGGAAAAGTTGGTGCATTTTGTTTTCTGATTGAGTTACACCCTGTTTGTTTTGGATTTTCTGATTAAAGTTACTCAATTTTCGGTAATAATGTTCATGAGAAAAAAGTAGGAGTATATTATGTTGCAATAGGGAGGGACAATATAGACTTTTAAAATAGTGGAAATGAGAGAGATAGAAGTTACAATGTAATATAAAGAGGCAGACATATATGACAGCTATTGAAGAAAGCTAATTTACATATGTGTAATAATACACACAAAAGATTTAGACATAAATTAAATTCAAATATATTACTGACTGCAATATTAAAAACTGTCTTAGAAAGTTCACAATTCTTCTCTTCTAAAATTGCTGTTGCAATAAACCCTATTAAAAGGATGATGCATGCCTTCTTTTCTAACCCTYRTGATTGTTTTTCAGTTTYATAGGTGAAGAGTCTGTCTCAGCTGGCGAGCCATGTAARCTTACAGACAATCCCACATGGATCATTGACCCAATTGATGGAACTACCAACTTTATTCATAGGTACTGKATTTTCTTATTAGGAGATCAATGTCAAATATGCCACATTCTAAGAACTTTGTCTTTCTAGGTATTCATTTGTATGTGTTAGCATTGGCTTAGCTATAAACAAAGAGGTAAATTTTCAATCAGATCACAGCATGAAAAAATCATTGCCTCATCACAGAWCCAACTTGACTGGTATTTACACAATTGAGCACATTGAGCACTGTATAAAAGTGTATTTTTAGAAATTTAATTTAATTGTATTGTAGATATTTTGTTTATTTGTGATAAAGGCTTTTATATTTATTTAGGTGCAAGTTGGTTTAGTGTACAATAGTGTATTGAATGAAATGTACACAGCCATCAAAGGTAAAGGTGCATATCTAAATGGAAAGAAAATCACAGCAAGCAAGGAAACAGGTGAYATAAAATATGTGAGTTCAATGCTGAAGTTTATGAAGAAGTSAACATAAGTTGTTTTTATTTTTTGTCAAGAGCTTGGTAGATCTCTAATCATCACAGAGTTAGGCTCAAATCGCTCRAAGGAAAGGTTAGATGTCGTAATGAAGAACTTAAGAACAATAGCTGAAGAACCAAATGCAATTCATGGGTAAGCATGTCCAATCTTTAAGAACTATAAAACGGCCGCTTGTGTCTCTGTCCTCTGATATAAACACGTTGGGAGTTTGAAAAACACAAGAGAAGCAAGCTTGCTTCCCATACCCTACCCATCCCATCCTGTCCTATCTTATCCTACTCAATCCCATTGTCGGGGTATATCTAAGGGGGTTGCCATGGGGATGGTGACTCTTATCCTTGGGAAATCCTGCTTAGATACATATTCATATGACCATGTAGCACTTCTATCGACAGGGAACAAAATTTATAGATGTGCCTCCCCCTTTAAATTTTCTGTATTCAACCCCTATTGTAGCCAATGCTATCCTAATCTCATTCTATCTCGTTCTGTCCCATCTCATCCCTTCTCTTCCAATCTGATCCAATCTCTAAACCGGGCTGTAATTATTTGTAATGCATGTATTCATACTGGTAAATTTTGCAGTGTTCGTATAGGAGGCTCTGCAGCCTGTAATCTCTGTGCTGTGGCYCGTGGAGCTGCGGATGGGTATTTCCAGTTTGGTATCCACGTATGGGACATTGCTGCTGGTTTGTTGATAGTTTCAGAGGCTGGAGGTGTTGTTTGTAATCCCAAAGGTAACTYTCAATTATTAATAAACAGAGTTAATTGAAGACAGTGTATTTTACTGTATTTGTTTCTGTAGGTGGACCTTTAAATATGATGTCTCGTATGATTCTTGCTGCTGGTACAGATGTCTTGGCAGACTCATTAATACAGCAAATTGTACCCATTGAATATCCATCAGATTGAAGACTGCATTATATAATGGCTGAACTGAAGACCAGTAAATACTGTCAAGATTATTGTTCTTTTTATTTAGTTAGATACTCATTTATTTATTTGTCTTTTCGTGTATATTAGTTTTAATGAGAAGAATAATTGCTTTATGTTCTTAAGTGCCACAAGGCGTGAAGAAGTTAGATATTTTTATCAAAGATTATCCATAAACTAATAGGATGTGGAGCATGTATAAGAGAGATACCATTACCTTTGCCACAATCTTAAACAGAGGTTTTGAGAATTAATGCACCAATAAGTGCTATAAATTCAACAGAAATTGTGCTCTCCATCCTCTACTCATCTAAATCACATTCGCTAGCTTCTAAATTACATCCAGMAATGTATGTGTGATCTCCTACGTGCAACTATGGACTTGGCAATATTCAGCAATATTACAACAATTCTTTGTACATAAATATAATTCCATAATTTATCAGTCTAGCAGTGCTAGCTGTGGATGGATAATGTCCAACACAAAATACAGTCTATATTATTATATGATTTTGGAATTAAATTTTAATTTTATTCGACAGTATTATTACAATTGAAATTATTTTATAGGTGATAGGCTGTTATGCGTAAATAGTTATTTAATCAAGCATTTGTACATATAGGATTACAATAAGTATTGTGAATAAAGAGTATTGTTGGGATACCTGTGGAAATTTTTTATTCCAAGCAAAATGGCGGAGGCAACACAGCTGCAAGAATATCTAGATTCGGCTGTTGATATCGCAAGGAAAGCAGGAGAGGTATACATAAAGTGTATAAACTTATAAGGGGATTCTTTCTGCTCATTTTACATCATTTTTAGGTGATAAATGAAGCTTTTCATAAGGAAAAGATAGTATCGACGAAAGTTGTGGTGACGGACTTAGTGACGGAAACTGACCAATATGTCGAAAAACTTGTCATTGGAACACTGAAAGATAAATACCCTACGCACAGGTAGAACAATTGTAACAACATTATCGCACTGTATCATCATTCCATTGTTTGGTTGCATTCTTTGCTGCGCGCATGGTAACTAAGGTGTGACGTGTTGAAAAGTTTTATAGGTGAAGAGTCTGTCTCWGCTGGTGAGCCATGTAACCTTACAGACAATCCCACATGGATCATTGATCCAATWGATGGAACTACAAGCTTTATTCATAGGTGAGATACATTTGTAGGAAGCAAATGGGAAATAATCGAAAGAAATGATTRGATGAGAAAATGAATGGATTGACAATGAATAAATMAWYAAATGAATACATGAATAAGTCAACTAATAATTATTGGATAGTTGAACAATTAACAGACATGCTTGACTGGACATGACATTTGTACATGTGTGAGGGATTGTATGTACATATAATTATGAATATTTGATATATAGCGAATAGCACTGCATATTTTTCTGTTGCATCCATTTACCTAGATAACTTTGTTTTAACAGGTATCCATTATTCTGCATTAGTATTGGTCTGTCAATCAATCGAGAGGTATGAATGGATCCCTATAATGATAGCATTCACAATATTTCAAACTCAGGTTTAGAGATTCTTGTGAATGAGAGAGAGCTGCCACTCARTCTAGTTTAGAGTGACCACTGACAAAGCATTGAATCAACCAATCCGTCAGTACTGAGCATAAAAGAAAGGAWGCATGCTTAGTAGCTGTGTTCCTTGGTGCTTCGATCAATGAATTGAACTTAAGTAAAGAAAATCAGGAATTGTAGTATTATATTCTTCTAGAATATGATTATGTTAAATAAGGTATGCACACCAAACAATTCCTGGAAAATAAGAACAACTTGGAATGAGTTTACTAGTTAATCAGAATTTTCAAAAAACATTAATCAGTTATATTGAGATTTTGTAATTTTAGATTCATGTTGCTGTAGTATATAAYAGTGTATTGGATGAAATGTATACTGCTGTCAAAGGAAAAGGTGCATATTTAAATGGGAGGAAAATTTTGGCTACAGATGTGACAGGTAATTATAATGCTGTCATTTGATATAAAATAAGTGTATGGCTGCATGGAGTARTCACAAAATTATTTTCATTTTCMCTAAGAAATTGGCAAATCTCTTATTATTACTGAGCTTGGATACAATAGAGAGAAGAGTAAGCTAGACCCTGTTTTCAAGAACCTTCGTTCCATATCAGAAGGACCAAATGCAGCTCATGGGTAAGATATAARAGCACAGTGCACTTTATCAAAAAGTTCCTTAAACGACAGAATTTTGTTCCTGTACAGTGTCCGCTTTCAAGGCTCKGCGGCATATAACCTTTGCACTGTTGCACGTGGAGCTGCTGAGGCATATTATGAATTTGGYGTCCATTGCTGGGATATTGCTGCAGGTATACTCATYTTGACGGAAGCTGGCGGTGTAGTTACAAGCCCAAGTGGTATGTACATGTTTGCAGTTTAATTTAAATTTCATGATCAACCTTGTATAAATCACAATTATTACACTAAGTAGCATGCAAGTGATGTATAATTTCTAGACAAGACAAATTTTGCTTTAGAGAAGCTTTATTTTCAATACGTTTTTCATGTCCAACTGTCGCGAAGAACATTTTGACATTTATTCAACCATTTGTAATCATTTGAATTATAATAGTTTGTGATTTTAGGGTTTAGGGGTTCTATTTGTTATGTRTTAACTTGTCAATCATTTTTTGTCACATATAYGTAATCTCATATTACTTTACGGWACACAACGCAATGTTCTATTAAACGTGGCACAAGGGAATTACGTTTCTCCATGATTTCGTCTATTTCTCTTTCGCACACCAACAAAACATTTCTAATAAATTTGTAATTTCATATTTTCTCTAGGTGGTCCTTTGGATATTATGGCACGGTTTGTCATGGGAGCTTGTACAGACACGTTAGCAAAGAGTATTTGTCAAAAGCTTGAAGTTATTGAACACCCTTCTGATTAATAAAATAATTTTAATATTAATAATTATTATATTATTAATTTGTGCTCTCTAAATTCCTGATGTTAATTTATGTGAAAAAGCACAGGAATCTATCCTTAATTACATCGACTCAGATCTAGGTTGACTTTTTAGATGAACATGATACAAGGGGAAAATCAAATTGTTTTGATTTAAATTTCTGGCAACTTAAAATCTCCTTTAATRGCTCAGAAAGATCAACTCAAATTTTAATTTTKAGTTGAATGAATTATAAGGCTTGTAGCTTGAATGTTCAAGTACACAGCTCAAAAAGTCTAATTTTAAAGCAAGGAGCTCAGCAAGGTCCAGATTTTACCTTTCTATACCCAGTATTATGTTGCACAACAATAATTATGAGACAATGTTTAAAATGTTTTTTATTAAAATACTATGTGAACATAGGAAAAATCATATATGTAATAAATAAGTATCTCTATTTCTRATAGCATTGAATAATTCATGACTACTATTCTTAAGTACAAACAATGATTTTTTTCAATAGTTATTTGTGTGGTAGGAACCAAGTATTATAATTACATTAGGTTTTAATATATGATTTTAATTCATTGCAAATAGCTAAATAATTGARTATTGTTAAGGATCATCAAAACTTTCAAAAAAGGCTCCTAGAACAGAAAATCTTTTTTGAAATGGCCTGGCTTTGCAGCTGTGTTTTCCAGTAAGTGTTTCTTCCTTATTAGCATTAGTGTTGCTTGATTTTGTATGTAAGATAATGTCTTCATGTATTTTGGTTTGTTGGTGTGCTTTACAGCAGTGTATTGCACCTATGTCGATAGGATGAGCCTCTGTGTTAAATATATAACCACTACTTCCAATAGCACAAGCGGGTGATTTAGTTGCCCTGCTGGTGAATAAAGAATCCCTTGTTCCATTGCTGTGATGTATAAAATTGTGTTCATCAAATAAGAGGTATAGGTATTTAGTTGTCTCTGCCAGAAAGAATGACTCCATTCTGTCTTCTTTTTCATGGGTTTTGACATTTTTAATCTGTGAATGGACATATAATTATACAATAGAGTGCATGTCATAAATGTGTGAAACAATAGCGTAACTATTTTTTGGGCGTATCGGTATTAAGTTGCATAGCTGCTAACTTCGTAGTTATTTTCTTCATATAAGAATTGATTCAGGCGTAAAAACAAAGACACAAAGAAATCAAAGATAGACATTTCTTTGTGTCTTTGTTTTTACGCCTGAATCAATTCTTATATGAAGAAAATAACTACGAAGTTAGCAGCTATGCAACTTAAAACCGATACGCCCAAAAAATAGTTACGCTATTGTTTCACACATTTATGACATGCACTCTAAACAATTCAGCCTATACCAACAATGTAACGTCCTACTGATAGCCTACTTACTGACACATCTACTATAACTGACACCATACCGACAACCTTCTGACAACATACAAATAACCAATAATCACTGGAATCCACTTACTGTAGCATACCCACATGGGGTCTTTGCACTTCTTTCTATGGATTCCAACATATCCCTGCCAATCTCTAAAAAATATGGATCTCTTGTTGCCTGATACAGGTACATTGCACTTTCGATCAACTCTGAAATCAAATCTCTATTTTAGACAATGAAATAACTAAAATTATATCAATAAAGGCAATGATCTTTCTACCTGGCCGCAAAGGATAAGACTCTCGTCCTGAGAATGGTTCTCCAGAAGATATTTGGTAAAATTCAGGAATAAACCCAAAATGTTGCCAGACACGATGGTACTTTTCAATAGTCCTGGATGCTGCTCCAATGTCTCCCCAAAGAACCTTGAAGAAACATAAGAGCTCTAGTGCTGATTATTATGTTGAAAGTAACACTAATGTGGGTGGTGAAAGATTATAGTGATTATATCAGCATACCTGTAAACCTGGCCAAAAGGCTTCTAGTGACTGGAATATTGGCATGGTAATTTGTCCTTTGTTCATGTTGACCCAGATATACCAGTCACTGTGCTTTAAGTATTTTTTGATTTTTCCATAAAATTCTGTGAAATAAACAAAATCTCAATATTGTTTAAAAATAAAATTATCATTCTACTTGGAGTATCACATTAATATAGTGACAGATTACAGCCAATAGTTTTAAGTATTGTTAAAATCAATGCTAATTTACATGTAGCAAAAGCATTAGAAGGTAATGTGAGGTAGTACTGCATACTTTTTGTGCTAAATCTGACCATATTCATTGAGATATATTGTACCTTCAAACATGTAAATAAGCTTTGGCATGCCAAACAATATTCCACCTTTGAGAAGATACTCAAAGTAAGAATCAACACCAGCACCAATTCCAGAATCTACAGCTGTCCACTTCCCTGTCAGAACATCTATGTGATTACCAACCTGAAAGGTTAAAACAACAACTGTATGTTCTGCAGGGATGCCAACCCCCGAACTTTTCAAATCTTGAGATAATGTACATGAACGAAAATGATGACGTCATACCRGAAATGACGTTTCATAACATCGATGACGTCATCGTATTTATCAAATTTCGTTATAACTAGTGATTTGATTGGATGTATCTTAACCAATCATATTATAGATTGTATTATGCAATTGAAAATGGCCGTGGATGGCGTGCAGTGTTATTGTTATCAGAAGACTGGGATTTTTGTATTTTTTCAGAACTAAAATGACACAGATATGCAAGGCAATTTAAGTTTTGATAGATGAAAAGAGATATTTCAAAATACTGATATATGAATCGTCATTATCCGGGAGATTTAGCGGTAAAATCTTGAGACCGGGAGAAACGGTCGAAAATCTTGAGACTCCTGGATTATCCGGGAGAGTTGGCATCCCTGGTTCTGCCTCAAACCCAAATTTACTACATTTAGTTTAATTTAGTGGCTGAATGCATACCAATCCTAATTCAGATTTGGTTTTCCAGAGCCCATCGAGGGCTTTCATTGCTGTGTCAACAAATCTTGTGTCTCCAGTTAAGGCACTAAGTGTTCCAAATTCTAYAATGTAGGTTCCACATCCCGCAGTGCATGTTATTGACGTCTCTCCCTCAGGGACCCCATAGCGTAGGTTGATTGTACCATATGGCATACCAGTTGGAGTGTCAAATGCTGCAGTACATTATTCACAATGTTAGCTTCAGTGAATGAGTAACAGAGAAACTCACAGATATGTCAATTGAAAACTGATAGTACATTCCTTCTCCATTCTCCCCCTCCAAACAAAAAATTAAATTAAACTCAGGTAAAAAATCTGTGAAAAGAGGATTGAATAGAGTAATGGAAAAGCTAGTGGGACTGGTAAATAAAAGAAAAGGATAAAAGGAAAGAAACAAGATTTTTTTTTTGATGAATGAAATGAAATGAAAAAATRAGAAAAGATGAGAAAGCAATTCCTATCCATTCACCTGGAAGAAGTCTTTCTGCAGCCTGTGTTGCAAGTCTAAGGAGTGGACCTTGACATGGCCATTCATCCTCAACAGTAAGTCCAGCTTTAATGGACAATAAGTGGGCTGAYAACAAACCACCAACAACTACAAGACATGAATGAAATAATTTACTTTTATTTCTTTTAATCGCATAATTCTTATTGCATTTTGATTCTATCCATTACTTCATACATATCCGTATATAGAAATTACTAATCATTATGAATTCCATAATAGTCTGTTATTACGTACGTCATGAGATGACAATCAGAATAACCACTAGTAATCATGATATAAATATGTAACGTATCAATATAACATTAAAACTAACCTCTAATATTAGTCTCAAACACAGATACATTGATATCATCATCAAAGCTTAGTGTTTCTTCAAGTAGTCTAGAAACTCTTTGAAACTCAGTCACATTCCCCATAATCTACAATGAACAAAATAACTCTTAGCCTGGAAAAAATATTTTGTCTCTTTTGCAATAATTCCTTTTGTTGGCCAAAAGAATGTAGTAGAATAAATATTATTTTTTTACTTACTAGTAATGTATCCAGTGAATCAATCAGAGTCAAAGAATAACTAGAAAGAACATATTTTAAATATTATTATACACATTGTTAAATGCATGGCAAGAACCAAATGAATGGAATGGTCAATATCTTTACCTGCCCCAGGTATCTTGTCCAGTACATGAAAGGGGTTTTAATTCATCATAAGGGTATGCATACTTGATGTAGTTATTATAGCCATGATAAAACATTGCCTTTGCCCTGTCCCTGGAATAATACAATTTAGTAGAACAGATTGACTGATTGATTGACGACATCGATTGATTGAATGTGAGTGAGTGATATAATTGCCATGGTCTCTTAGATCAAAATAGCCAAGCTTAAGGTGTGTGCAACACTGCTCACAGTGGTTCAATAACCCAATGAGCCAATTGATTGTCAGACGTAACATATTGTTTTTATACTTGTTGAGATATTTATTGATAACATTAATTAATCAACTGATTGATTTATTAATTTTTCCAGCCGCAGTACAAACATAAAGTGTTTTGTACTTGATGTTCATTTCATTATTAMGATTATTAAGTTACAAAATAAAAAGAACACAATTACAGTAACCTAACCTATAACGCAACATATCCTCTTTAGACATAACATATGCATCTTGTGATCCGCATAGTGATCCAACGCAAAGGATACTCCATAGAATATCTAGCCATGTTTTCATCCTGATTTGAGTCTTATAACTCCAAGCTAAACGTAAGTAATTTCAAAAAGAATAATACGATTTGATCAATATTTCGCTATTACAAAACATAAACAAAGGCACAGCTTGTGAAAGAATGCTGGAAACTTACAAACAAGGAATTATACTATCGTCATCTTTCAATGTASTAACAACCATTTCTTTTCTCAGATCGTTACCAAATCCCAGCACTAATATGGATAACTTATATACCCTCACTTCGTCTTTGTAGTCCACTCTCAGCTGAACACGTTAATTGAAAATCCGCTGGTTACAAGCATTGCATATACATAATAAGAATCTGCGGTATAAACGAACAGCGGTTTTTTATAATAACAGCGCCATGTTTGAATTTTGTTTTGGTTGTTTATATTTTACGTTTTTTTCCTCCTGAAGTTGGTCGTGAAGTGACAGTTATTAGAGATTGTATAATGAATTCTATGCCTAACATACATAGCTGCCTGAAGGTAGTTCTTGAAGGGATGAAAATGTAATTCTAGTCCCTGATTTTGGCTTTCTACTAATAAAACTGAATCTCTTTTGAAAAAATAGCTTTCTTCAGAAAACGAAAGAATAAGGTTAAAATGTAAAAAGCTTCAAAAACAGAATGCAGTTCTTGCCGACGAGTTAAAGAAGATCAAGGAAAATGTCACCGTTGATTATTTATTTAGAGGAAAGGGCTCTTGCAGAAGGTATAATTAACTAATGATGGGAAGGATTTCATTTTGACAATCTGTTTGCAATAATATTTCTTCTATCCAGTGTGCAAGTACAAACTGATCGCAAGCTACCAATACGTSCTCCTGCTACAGCAAGACCAACAGTTCAAGCAAAACACACAATKCCAGTTGAACAGGAAGATCCCAAATCAGAAAAGTATGTTTGACAAGAAGTAGTTAAAGGAATACAGGGACTGAAAAGGAGCAAGTGCTTTTGTATTCCTTGGCATGGATATGTTTAATAGATCAGTTTTGTTGACAGTATTTTTARATTCCTACTACTAGTATGGCATTCTGTTTGTTTCAGGTTAATTTCAATGCATTCAAATCTCTTGAAAAGATATCAGAAGGAACTCAAGACGAACACTGCACAAGTTGAACAGATTGCATCTCTTACAGTAAATCATCAACAACAGTCTTTTTTATATTAAACAACTGTAATATAACTTTTATTATTAATATTTAATGGCAATACAATAAATAAAAGGCACTAACACTAAAGGCCTGATAGCGAAGTTCTAATGAGCAAATTAAATCTGGTGTTCTAAGCAAATTATAAGGTGCCTAGATTGATAACATAGGAGCAACTGACCAGTAATAATGTTTCCTTTAACAGCTTGAAAATATTGAACTAAAACAAAGGTTAGAAGAATCCCAGAAAAAAATATCATCACAAGAAAAAGAAAATGAAACATTGCAGATGAGAATCAATAACATGTCAATCAGAGACAGAGTAACTCCATCTAAAAGAGGTATCAACATTCTTAAACGATATGTAAAATGATTGTTGTGTAGTATTCTTTCCCACCTTAAAGTCTACTAGATTAACTAGTTAATTATTCAAAACCCAACTGTAGTGTAATAAGGTGCTTCATTCGATTCTAATAATAATATAGTGTATACATATTTATCTAATAATGACTCTTCCTATTAAAAATGAAAGTAATATTTAAACTTTCATTTGACAGATTTAGTAACAGACCTGGACAGAGTAACCAAAGAAAGAGACAAATTATTGAATGAAAGGAAAAAATTCAAAGGTAACAATCAATTTTCAAGGCAAAAAAAGACATWGGGGAAGAAAGCTAATGCTTTTTTTTGTTTTTAGAGGAGCTTAAAATGCTTGACAGAGTAAGTGAGTGGTTTATGTCTGTGACTGGTTCACTTTATACAAAATGTATTTTTTTTCTAATTACTAAAAAAATTCAATGATTATTGTAGGGATTTTTTGAAGAAATTGAGGACTTAAAGTATGCTTTACAGCAATCTGCAAAACTAAATACAGCTTATGAAGCAGCACTTAAAAGACTCTGCAAACAGTTTGGTGTTCCTCTTCCATCAGTTACTGGCTCTGGTAAAAAGAGACAGAAAAAACGACAAAAACAAAGAGAATTTAGGTGACATAATTTTTGTCATTTACTTTTCATATTATTTCCTTATCAAGAGAATGCAGTTCACATATCTGTCTTGGATATTTGAAGAACTGATTGTAAGATAGCATCCTCTTCCTCATGAAAATCCTGTAAATAAAAAAAATGAAGTCATTGGTTATCAATGAATAAATATTGATTATTAAATGAAATCCCAGATTTATTATTTCCATTTATTCATTTATGGGTTCATCCTCTTAAGGTCTCACTCACTATGCATTATGTTCATAGTGTTGATGAAGAACCAACTTGTTGTAGTAAGTTTTTTCTAAGTTGTTGATGAACCTTTTATTACAACAGTCTTAAAAGAAACACKGATACCATACACACTAGTATTACACATCATTCCATTCTTATTCAGTCAAATCTTACCACAAATGTATCATAATTAAATTTGTGTCTGATGTTAAGATGCTGTTTGAAGTCAGTACTCTTTTGGTCAGGATTTCCCCAGGGCATTGATGCACAGATTGGACAAACCTGTCAAGAAAATCAGCAAAAACACTGGTCAAGTTTGCTAAAAAACTCAAATACAATGCAGCAAAAACTGTTTACAGAACCTATCAAAATATTACTTGCTTGTCCATGGTGAAAACAAAATTGGGATTCCTATGGTGAGAGATCTCACAGGCAGCCCAGTATTTTGAGAGCAATATTTACATACCACCTGCTTGTGATCGTTCCTGTGTGTATTGTTAACATGTTCAATCATTCCTTCTCTGTCAAGGTTTAGCATATCGCAATATGGACACTTGAATGTTGAACGGTTTGCAGCTCTGGAAAGTAATAGAAATGGACTGTGACATATGAACCTAACAATGGCACATTGCTAGTGCCTTACTCCCTAGTGAATTGATAATAAGCAGTGTACTATTGAGTGTATGTCATGTTTGAATGATAAGTACCTTTGTGCAGGCTGAGATGAAGCTGCTACTGGATGAAATGTTGGAGGTTGTGTAGTGCCAGTTGATAGTCTTGAACACACTTTCCTGTGATTTTTAAGTGATGACAATACAACCTACAATAAATACAAATATAATACATGAATACAGAAAAAAAAAGAACATTGAATTCAATGAAAACCTACATAAAACAAAATTTTATTAAGTTGTATGGTTGATTTAATATCTTAATTAATTCCTCTTTTTAACTGTGAGGTCTGCTTTGCAGAAGTTCCTATTGCTGGTCTTCCTGTGCCTCAGCTGTGCCTCAGAAAGCAAAAGCGAGATGGCAAAAAGAAGGCTGAGAGGGGCTTGGATATACCCTCTGTGATATATTCACAAAAATCCTCAATTCATCACCCTTTGTGTATGTTCAGGTGGAAAATATCTACCATCTTGTTGCATTTAGAGCACTTTTCACTTGTKGTATCCATCATTCTAGCCAATATTCTGTTGTCCGTCATCTGCACAGTTGTGAAACTTGTTCGACAGACGGGGCACTGACTGTTGGAAACTTTACTGAGACAGCTCATTATACARTCATTGCAGAAACTGTCAAATCAAACAAACATAAAACAGTTTTTCTCTAATGAATTAATAATTACTCTGAAAACAGAACCAATTTTCCCTGTTTGAAGAATATAATATCCGGTAATGTTTGAATCTAAAAAAAGCCTTATTTTCTGTCGGTATAATAAGCTTAGAATAAGCACCAAGCTTCTAAATGATAAATATTTAAGTTAAAACTTAAAATTTGAGCTCAAACTTGCAGCATTGACAGTTCGGAATTTGATGTGATAAATCACTCACCTGTGGCCACAAGGGATTTCTATCGGATCATCAAAGATATCCAAACATATTGGACACGAAAAAGTACTACTTCCACTTCCATTAGCGCTGGCTRCATATGYCATTACACAGAGCAAAAATATAAATATAACCTATGAAAGATGATGGCATATTACGATTCCTGGAACATTGCTTTCTGAGCCGGTAGTGCTACATTTCAGCGGATACTCTTAGTTTGATTTCTACAACATGGCGGACGCCAGTCTCTCGAGTTTTGAACGCAATTTTATCATCAGTGGCGTGCAAGAGGATTTTAGATCGGATGGGAGGTCTTGTGAAGATTACAGATACTTTGAAATAGAGACAGGAATTGTGTCAAACACTAGCGGATCTGCAAGGCTTAGACTGGTGAGTAAGACTGGTAAAATTTAGTAGGATGGAAAAGTATTAAAATTAGTTCTTTTTTATTTCAATTTTCAAGTCCAAGACAGATATTCTCGTAGGAGTCAAAGCAGAAATTGGAGAACCACATCCAACAAAACCTAGTCAAGGAAGAATCGAATTCTTTGTCGACTGGTAAGAATGTATATATACATGTATATTCTGATCTTTGACAATAAGCTTATAAACCTGAATTTCACAGCATGTTTGCATATGTCTATTCTTACCGATTGAATCCAATTTATACTTTTATGGTAGTCAAAGTTAGCTATCAATGTTAATKATATGTATGAATGATAATTTATAGTAAATTCATTATTTATTGTAAACATTTTGGTTCTTTTTTTAGTTCATCAAATTCATCACCAGAGTTCAATGGTARAGGAGGAGATGATTTAGCAGCAGACTTGTCAAGAGCTTTGGAAAGATCATATAGAAATAAATCAGCTGTAGACTTACATTCCTTATCTATTCTACATGGGCAACAATGCTGGGTTTTGTATATCGATGYCGTGGTAAATAAAAGCAATTATTGTGTACTTAGCGATTGTCATTAATCACCAACCTAATGGAGAAGTGAAGTCCAGCGCAATGTATTTCATTGACCACATTCATGACTTGTCTGTGCGTAATTTTTGTGGCTTAGTGCAAGCATCAGTATTGATATAACCTGCAAACTGGAAGATGCTTTATTGCAGTATATAATAGGATTGGGATCAATATGTTGATATAGTGAAATTGGTGAATTTGGAGAGGCAAATGCAGCTGTGATGTGTTGTTCTCTATTGTTCTAGATGCTCTGGATTCAAGGCTAAATGATGATAATAACTAAACATATTTCAAGCAGTTGTGAAGACAAACCTATTATCTTTATGATTAATCTCAGTATGTTTTATTTAAAGGTTTTGGAGTGTGGTGGTGGTAATCTTTATGATGCTCTGTCACTTGCTGTTAAGGCTGCCTTACATAATACAAGGTAAGATGCTATAGGCTTATAACTCCAAGCAAAGTTATAATGATGCATTTATAAGTGAAAAAGGATAAAATGACAGGATKTGTTTTTTGTGATGTAGTATTCCTAATGTAACTGTCAACACAGATGAAGGGGAAGTTGAATTAGAAATATCTGATGATCCTCATGACGTCAAGCATTTAAACGTACACAATATTCCTATAATAATTACTCTATCAAAGGTAGGAACTAAGGATGTATTGATATTTTTGTTACTCATGATGGAGAAATCATTTATAGGAGATTATATTCCAAAGCTCAAAACTGTTATAGTGGAAAAAATAGGAAAGATGTCCTTGCAAAGATATACATTCACAATGATACAGTATCTCCATGCCTATTTCTTGTTTTAAAAAAATCTTTATCTTGTCTCAGATTGGTTTGCGTCATGTTATTGATGCAAGTGTTGAAGAAGAAGCATGTAGTGACTGCCATCTCTTAGTATCTGTTAATGGTGATGGTAACATTTGTAGCCAGCAGAAAATAGGAACTGGTGGACTTGACCCACAAACTATATTTGAAATGCTAGAGGTCAGTTGTTATCAAGACAATAATGATGGTGGTAGTATTATTTATCATGATAGTGTTGATTTTTGTTATGATTTGTCAAGTAATTTTGAATGAAAGGAGATGGATTAGTTGTTTGGTTGATTTTTAATTGATGAATTATTGATTGAATGATAGTTTGATTGTTGACTTTTAGAGTGCAAGAACTGCAGGGAAAACATTGAACAAGAAATTATTAGATGTTCTTGAAGAAGAATCTACAGCACAAAAAAGAAGAAAAGTGGGATTTCTCCATTAAATCCTTTAGACAATTATTTATAACTGTAAATAAATAGGAAAATAAAGAGATAAAACCAATGTGTTTTTTGACCTCTTTTCACTTTAGTGTAATAAAAATGAAGTTGTGATTACARTAGTCATTGATTTTGAGTAAAGCCAATGAAATCCAGATCCATAATTATTTTCAATAGCACACAGGCAAGATGACAAGTGAGCAACTCTTTCCAATTTTAGATTGATGTGAGACATGCCATGAAATAACAATGTTTTGTACTTACATGTGCTTTTATTTCTTTCATCTGGGTATTTTGCATATTTTAAGTCATGTACAAAAATGTGAAAACATCAGCTCTTAGACACGATTTCATTACCTTTATTCATACTTTCCCATTTCTCATCTTTCTCAATTAGGTTCCAGGTTCATACGTCGTACACGGTCAGCAGTCATGAGATCGAGTCTTTTAGTCACGTGTTTGACTGCCGTAATATTTGTACTTCAGTATCAGCAGGAAGAGAAATGATGGTGAAGAAGAACTTTCTTGTTTAAAAAACTAAAACGTCCTCGGCATTCTCAACAACACTCGACCATGAATCGCTACTCGGTCGAGCAGCCAGGACAAGCAGGATCGGAGATGACTTTAAGTAGTGAGATGGGGCCGGTCATAACTGCTTTGAAAGRAGGAAATATATTGACGAGATACTACTGCAAGAGAGCTCCCGATCTGAGAGTTTTCGCGCTTCAACCTGAAGAGTTCCAAGTTGCATGGTCAAGAACTGGAGGTGGTAAAGAAGGCGCCAGAATTGAAGGATGTGGTAAGAATCGTCCCGACTGAGMCACCGAGCAGACTTTCTGACTGCGAGAAAAGCTTAGCTATTTTTCCTCTCTCTGTCAAAGCCAGAGTTCAAACCATTCAATGTCATTTCTTCTACATTTTTCATGTGCAGTTAAAATTCGTGAAATTTCCGAAGTTCGCAGAGGACAGTGTTCCAGGGACTTTGAAAAGAATCCAGATCTGACACGCAAACTCGATCCAAATTGCTGTTTTGTTATCTTCTACGGCAGTGAGTTCAAATTGAAAACATTAAGCCTTGTTGGTGAGTATTTCGTCACTCTTTCATTAATTGAAAGTCTCTTTAGCTGCTTAACATCTTAACAGGGGACAGTTGTTCATATTCTGCTAAGATATGATAAAATTGCTTTCTGAACATAGTGAAATTCATTTGCTGTTTTTCCCATTTGTTAGCACGGAACCATCAAGAACGCGAATATTGGGTGACTGGTCTTGTTTTTTCGATGTATGAGAGTATGGTAGCTACACAACCTGTGTTAACATATAGGTATAGGATCCAATGTTTATTTATTTATTCATTGAATATAAATGTGTTAAAATTTGTAATCTTTAATGCAGAACTTTCTTATATCATAATGAACACAGGTGTTGGTATATAGGAACAGGTCTCTCTCTTCACTCCATAGATATTTGCGGTAGTCTTTTTATGTTGTTTATTTATATATTTTAAGCTTCAGGCTGCCTTTTATCTCGACCGTGTTAGTACAATATGTACTGAAAACTTGTGGGCGTTAATTTATGATGCCTATTTTTGATTTTCTAATTTCTATTTTTTTTCTCTTTTGTATAGGTGGTTGTTGAGAGAATGGAACACATTGACTGCAAACACAATTCAACAAAATAAGAAAAGGTAATAAAGTTACCCAAGATTTTAGTTTCAATTTCATTCTGTAACTTCTGCTAATGTAATGAGCTGGTAAATATGTACAGCTGTCTCCTTGCAACATCTATTTCAGTAGGACGAATGGGTTGATTGCAAAACATCCTGTTATTTTTCATAACATATTTCATTTCTGATTCAATTCAACATTTGATTTGTAGCACTGCTATGTCATTGATCTTATTATAGATGGGTTCATTAGCATAGCAACAGGACTAATCAAAACCTTATTACATGCTTTATTTGTTCATAAATAAACAAACACATAAATAAACTAGTATTGGGAGGGGGCTTATTATATACTGCCAATTTTTTTTGTGAGAAATCGAAGAATTTTGATGATATTCTATACATAGTTCCCATACAATGATAAGGATGTTTTAGCTATGTTGCATCTGCTTCCAGGTCAAAACCTTTTTGAATATTTAACTAGAATTAGTTTATTTATTGTACTAAGAACACCTGAGACCATATTGTCGAAATGTGACCATGGTATTGAATTTTCTTGACCCACGTAATGCAAAAAAATTTACAAAATTGATTAAAGTTCAATTTACCTGAATTTGAATACAGAGTCTTTTCTGTTTTATTTTAAGCTTATTATTGTACAATTTCATAGCATTGTTTATTGTATTAATTCCTTGTATACTATGTTTCATATAGAGTCAGCATTTGAATTATTTATATTAAATTAAAAAACAATCAAGACATAGTGCAGTTAATGTTGTCATGCTACTTGGATTCTGTATTTTTAATTAAAATGTTTGAATAAGTAGGAACTGCAGCCTTACCCCTCAACGTTATTGAGAGGGAATTGATTAATTGCTGTACAGGTGGTCTATCTACTGCACAAATTTAATGTGATTGAATTTAATGAAATGTCAATTTTGAACAATAACTGTATGTACACTTTTGATGTATTTTCTCTACTTTTTTCGTTTTTCTATTTTTCATTATTTCACTTTCAAAATGGTATATTGTTTATTAGTCTAAGCATTGTTTGGCATTTTAATCAAGTTTGTAGTTTAAATAATTTTACAATAATAGTAATAGATAAATTTGGAGTTAATCTAATTATTAGTTTTCATTAATTAAAGGCTGAGCAGCTGATGAATGAGGAAGTTTTTTAAGCTATAAATAAATTATTTCAGTTTTCATTTGAAAATTCAGTGGTAGGAAAAGATATATGAAGTCATTTACAATAAACTTCTCGCTCTCTTGGACTACTTAACAATTAGACCACGAGGTTGAGTGGACTATGGCATGATGGTCTATGATGGTCTATGATGGTCTATGATGTTTTACTTCAACTCATAGTTCATAAGATCAAGTGGTCTAATTGTTTTAGTATTCACCAATTTCTCAAATTTATCCTATAGTTTGGTAGATATGAGTTGATATTCCAATCCATAGATTAATTCTATTCCCTCAAGCCATTTTTTCTATTGGTCTACTCCTTGTCAGACACTATTGACCTTAAAATGTCTGATATCCTAACCACTAGACCATCACATCTTTCTCAGCATTAGAAATTTATATATACAGTTTATATCAGTATTTTATGGCTGTATACCTTCACTCTATTGTATATGTTTATCTCTATAAAGGGTTGGAATGAGAGAAATGAAGGCATTTTTCCAGAAAACAAATATTAAATTGAATAATACAAGAATAAAAGAAATTCTCCAGGTGTGTTTTTTGATAATTATATATTGAGATTAGCTGTTTGTTTGAGGTACTGCATATGTGTGAGAACAGAATTTAAAATATTTGCTACTAATTTCAGAATGTTGACAGAAATGGCCAAATCGACTTTGAACAGTTCAAAAGAATTTATTATGAAATTATGTGCTTCAAAGAGGTAAGACRTGTAATCCTTTTTTATGCTATTTATCATTTTTTCTCATATGTCTTTTTGTCTCCATTTCAGTTAACATCAAAATTTACAGATTACATTGAAAATGGGTGAGTATACCATTTATGCATTTAACTCAATGGCACTAGCCAATACATTKCTAATTGAATAGTAAAGTAATGTTATTGTCAATATATTCTTGCAGGACATATGTCCCACTCAAGAAATTTCAGAAATTTTTATTAGAAGAGCAACAGGTATTYTTTCACTACAAACATTGGTCATGCTAAGTAACTAATCCTATGAAAAGGATRCACTTTCAGTAATGTTATATTCTTTGATTACAGGAGGGAGCAGCAAGAGATATTGAAATTGTACGAGAGTACATGCATGAATACCTTTCAGATAATAGCAGAAATTATTCTGATCCTTTTTTCACTGTGTCAGAGGTAAGAAACAGTTTTTATTGATGCTTGTTGAACTGAAATTGCTGTGGTTTGGAAAGGTTATACATCATAAAAGGATAGAGAACATACTGACATTTTAGACATTAGTCTTTCTTAGTGTAGAGAGAAGGACCATTTTCCTTGTGGATCATTGCAATGCATTGAATAAAAAAGAATAATTTAGCTGACTGATTGATTTTTACACTTATTTTTTGCATGTGATTAAGTGATGATTTTGTTATTGCAGTTTTTTGATTTCCTGTTTTCAAGAGGCAATAGTGCATTTAATTCAGCACACTGTTCAGTATATCAGGATATGACTAGGCCTCTTAACAGTTACTGGATTGCTTCCTCACACAATACGTAAGATAAGAAAAGTGTTTGTTTTTACTTGTCCTGGTGAGAACTGTGTATCATATGCTAAATGTTTATGGGAATTTGTCAGGTACTTGACAGGAGATCAGTTTCAGGGAGAGTCATCAGTGGAAGCTTATGTTAGATGTCTTAGAATGGGCTGCAGATGCTTGGAATGTAAGAAAAACTTYTCTTTTCTCATTCATTTCTTTATTGTACTACCACAAAAAAATTCTGTGTTTTACCATGGATTCATGCTTTCTGTTGTCTTTAATTATTTCAGTGGATTGCTGGGATGGACCAGATGGACAACCAATCATTACACATGGACACACACTTGTCTCTAAGATCAAATTTACTGAAGTCGTCAGGCAGATCAAAGAGCATGCTTTTGTTGCTTCAGAGTAAGTTGTTCAGTTCATTCAGTTAAAATGAGTTTTTTTTTATTCTAAAAAGAGCTACATGTATACTATAATTAGGATAGATTTTTTTGATAAATAAACTATAATGTCTTGTATTTAACATAATTATTAATTCTTATCTATTTTAGTTTTCCATTAATTCTATCACTTGAAAATCATTGCAACTTGCAACAGCAAAAATTCATGGCCCAGAATTTCAGAGAACAGTTTGGAGGTGAGTCAGAATTTTGCATATTTTTTTATCATTATTGCAGCTCTATGTTGACGTCTCAATTTGTCCACTTTTACTAAAGGTAAATGGATTTGTTTACTTAGAGTACCTTCTTACACAACCAATTGATAATGGGAGAGACTTGCCATCTCCAGAGCAACTACGAAAGAAAATTATACTCAAGGTTTGATAATGAATTAGGAAAATAGTTTATGAATCATTTATGAAATGGGAAATTGAAAGGATGAATGAAAAGATGGATTAAAATCATATTCTTACTAWTTCTAGCATAAGAAGCTTCCTAAAGATCCATCTCAGAATCCTGTGATAGACCAGACATTTGATTCTTGTAAGTATCTTGACTTTTAGGACAAACAGATCTGTGGTTGAATAAACAGAAAAATGAATTTGAAATAAATGGTAAATGCACAAATAAATATTWCATTATCTCTAAAACTTGAATGATTGTTTTCATTTAGTGTCAGAAGATGACCTTAGTCATTCATTCAATGGCTGCTTAATGTTGGAGGATGAAATAGATCATGTAAGAATATTATRTTTACTAAATGAACATTGTAATAGTTAAGTAGTTATGGAACAGATTTTATACGATAAAGGTATTATATATTGAGATTGTTCCATTGGACAATGTCATCTCAGATAGTGTGATAATGGTTTATATTTTTTTTCAGAGCTGGAAGAAACACTTTTTCTGCTTGACTGTAAAAAACAAATTGTTTTGGACTGAAGAGCAGACTGCACAGGAAGAAGATGAAGACGAGGAAGGTTTTTTAGAAGGAGTTGGCAATGGAGAGGTAAACAGCTAATTTGATGTGTTTCAACATTTGTTGAGAATATGTTCAAGCTTATTTGTTTTTTACTCACTTGCAGAAAGATGAGCTTCATTATGGAGAAAAGTAGGATTTTGCTTTATATTTGGCTACTTATTGATTTGCTCATTCATTATTATTATCCACCCTTTCATCCTTCCATTGGTTTCATTTTCATCAATTCTTTCATGCTTTCATGCACATATTCTTTTATTTTTTATTCATTCAATTTAACTATCATATCATCCACTGAGCAATTGGGTATGTGTTTGTCTATCAAGGTGGTTTCATGGTAAATTACCAGATGGACGTAAAGTAGCTGARCACTACTTGAATCAGTTCAATCGTGGTGATGGATCCTTCCTTGTAAGGGAGAGCACAACATTTGTAGGCGATTTYTCGCTATCATTTTGGTAGGTTTGTGATATCTGATAAACAGACGTATTCTTTGCATCTTTTGCTTTGTTTTTGTATTTTATAGCTCTTGTCAATTTGATTCTTGTCCATTCTTTCTTCCTCCCTCCTTTCTTTGCTCCTTTTTCCCTTCTTGTCACATCTTTTCATTTGCTCTACCTTTTTTTGTTTTCTTATTTTTCTTTGCTTTCTTATTCCATATTTTATCTCTCTTCAGGCGTAAGGGTAAAGTCCAGCATTGTAGAATACGATCCAARCAGGAGAATGGTCAAACCAAGTACTACCTTGTGGATCAGGTGACCTTTGATAGTCTGTACAGCCTTGTTAACTATTACCAGAACCATGCAATGAGAAGCAACAACTTTGAAATGACACTAACAGAAGCCATACCACAGGTTAGTAAGATATTATTAACCTCATGATGTTCAATGCTAATGAATATCCACATAAGTTGTTCACTRTGTGATAAGTAAAGCATTTTGGGCTAAAGTTTAAAAGTTAGAGCATCTTCTGTTTTGCCCATGTTTAATTAATTTCCACTTTCATATATAACTCCTAGTTTTGTTTCATTCTAGCCTAATGCTCATTTGGACAAAGAGTGAGTACAATTTTTTATTATTTTGTTGCTTTTTATATTAAAATTTTAGAAGGCTTCTGGTGAAGGTCATTCATGACTAGATTGTACTTGTATTAAGTATTAATGAGGAAACAACATAAGTAACAGAAAAACATGATAGAGCGGATTTCGTATGAGTGGGACACTGTTACTGCATGGTTACTGCACAGTTACCAGACCTGGCCTGCACAATTTTGGTGAACCAATGGGGCACTAGAATTTGCTTACAGTACGATTACGGTTACAGTACAGTACCATCCGTTTCCCACTCATACAAAATTGACTCTATGCTATGTAAATCTACGTATTCCTTCCTACAGCTTTTCATTTTGATGCACATACACACTTTACGTTAACTGCACTGTTTTGATCATAGCTGGTACCATGATAACCTTACAAGAAGTGCAGCAGAAGACATGTTGAAGAGAGTCAGGCGTAATGGTGCTTTCCTTGTGAGAAGAAGAGAAAAAGATGAAAGAACAGCAGAATCTTATGCTATTTCATTCAGGTATTCCAACATGTCATTCTTGCAATTTGTATTTATTAGTTTATAATAATCAGAGTTATGAGAACATAATTATATTTCAGAGCTGAAGGAAAGATYAAGCACTGCAAGCTAAAGAGAGAAGGCCGTCTCTTTACAATAGGCACAGCACAATTTGAAAGTCTTGTTGAGCTGGTAGAGTTTTATGAAAAATACCCATTGTACAAAGGAATGAAGCTTAAATATCCTATCAATGAAGCAGTGAGTATTGCAGGACTGACAATTATGGCTATGATGGTTATAGAGTTGCTGGACTTACACTCAATTGTTACTTGTAGCTTTTTCTTATTCTTTGCATTTTGACTGTTTGCATAGAGTGGATTAGTAATTCATTTGTCAAATTTTATTATTATATTGACTTATTTTGTATTTTCGATAACTAACTTTTATTAATAATTTTGATATTTTTGATTTTCAGATTCTATCAAAAGTCGGACAGGTAAGATAATTAGTGCCATTTGCTGGTAAAACAATAATAAAGCTGCAAAAAAAGCTAGCAGTAATTGTTGCAATACCATGCAAACACTCATTGTAATTTTGGTTTCAATTTTCTAGACGCCAGAAGAGGAAGCCATATATGGAACAGGAGAATATCACGATCCTAATCAAATAGTTACCAAGGTAACAAGTCAACAAACAAATATGCGCAAATAATACAAGTGATTTGATTTTCAATGTATTGATATGAAAGATGACATGAAGCTCTAATATCGTCATCCAAGGATAAACTATTGCTGTGAAAGAAATGATGCAGTTTGGTCATCAAAAATCTTCCTCTTTCAGCCTGTCTGTAGGGCCTTATGGGACTATGAAGGAATCAATGACCAGGAAATGACATTTTGCAGAGGAGCATTTATTACAAATGTTGTCAAAGATGACAGTGGCTGGTTAGTACCTTTATCTTAAATATTATTGACATAGTTTTATTATTAATTTATTCTTTGTGGCTATACATGGCYATACATATTCAGTTGACTTCCTTCAGGGAGGTAGTTGTTCTCTGTTGATATTGTGAGCCTTTGTTTTCCATTATTTTTCTTTGGTTTGATCATTTCCTCATTATCATGGTTGAACAGGTTGGCRAATTTTAGCCCAAAAAGCTACTTTATCWAAGAGCAGGAACTTAATAACTAATGATCTATTCATAGGTGGAGTGGTGATTATGGTGATCAAAAACAGAAACTTTTCCCTGCAAATTATTGYGAGGAAATCAATTCAATTGACCAAACTACAAGTAAAGAAGAAGAAGAGGTAACTCATTAGTTATGCCTTTTGCWTGAATACCCTCTCAATAGTATGAACTTTTAAAAATATCTAAAGGTTTTTATTTGCATTTTCGTTGATTTTGWAGTTGAATCCTGAAAAAGAAGGACAAGTACTTGGAGATTTACAAAAAGGTGCAATTGATGTCCAGGGATGTACAATAGGTAAGTATAAAACAAAAACGTTTCTCTTTGTTTATCATATAAACAAACCTTTGAGAAAACACTGTACWTTTGTTTTGCAGAAATGCCAGCACCTAAAGCTAACCAGCGTCATCTTCTCAGGGTCCTGAAACATGGACAGCCAGTTTTAGAAGCMGCTGCTGAGACACAAGATGTATGTAGCTACAAACTCTACTTCTAAAAACCTYATTTTGAGACTGCTGTTTTGAAATGCTAGTTGGAGTTGTTTCTCCCTATACTAACATTGCAAACASCTATAGTTGTTGYGCCTTYRAACCAAACAGTTTTGGTTCTGCTGAATGCAGGCTACAAACAGCTTCAAGAATGTCTTTTAGTTGTTTAAATGTTATTTGATATTRTAATAASAATGTCAGCATTRTTTATTTTGTCTRTTTGCTTCAGGACCTCAATGAATGGCTTTTGAAGCTACAAGAAGCTGCTGCTACAGCACCAGAGGAGAAAGAAATGATGAGAAAACAGTCCATCAGACAAAATATTTGTCAAGAATTGTCAGATTTGATAGTYTATTGTCAGCCTGTACCATTTGATATAGACAGTAAGTCTCTCGTCATTACTCATTTTACAGAAACTACCGCAAGTGCCTCCATTCTATCCCATCCCATTTCTAAACATCCAATGCTATCCCTGTTATTAAACGAGATGTGGTGTATGGCTATTTATTTCAGGCCATTCAGGAAAACACCAAGAGATGTCTTCATTTCCTGAAACAAAAGCTGAGAGATACATCAGCAAGAAGAACAGCAAGCAATTTGTCAAGTATCCTTAACAATAGTCAATTATCTTGCAAGTATTCTCGGCATRGAACCCATAGAAATGGGATTCCTGAATTAAAAGGAAGTATTGAATGGAAAGGGAAAACATTGCACAATTATGGAATACATACTCACTTAGTGAATCCTAAACAACAACAACAACAATTTTATTAATAATTTCACATTACAAAATTACAGAAATCCTTTGCCCTCGCAATACACCTTTTCAGTTGCACTTAGGCCTCGAAAGCAAGTTAATTGTTCTTTTGAATTTGACAAATGAGACTATTCATATCAATGTTTGCATTGCTCACATTCCTACAAATTCAAAAGAATATTTAACACGCTGTCGAGGCCTAAGAGTAACTGAAAAGGTGTATTAGTTAAGACTAATGATTCGTAATGAAAATGCTAATACGAAGTGCAATTGCAAAAATTTGTCTTTTTTGTAACACTTTCTTGACGGCAAGGTCCGTCACACAAACAAGGCGTTTTGTCTTTGGTAATTTTCTTAACAAGTAATTAAGATATCATCGTAAACAAATCAGTCGTGTTTACCCCAAAGGAAGCAGAATAGACTCGTCTAACTATGACCCTGTCATGATGTGGAATTGTGGTGTCCAGTTGTGCGCTTTGAATTACCAAACTCCAGGTATTTGCGATCATATGATAAACAATAATAATCACGCTAAATCATTGGTAAATAATTATCAATACATAAATGYTATTAGACTCTAACAGTAGCACAACAGTTATTTCTAAAATTTCGTCCTGTTTTTGTCTCAGATCGCTTTATGCAGCTCAATCATGGAAGATTTCTTGATAATGGACGGTAAGCAATGAATAATYTACAAACACCACTTACTATCCTGATGTTAGTTATCTTTTCCGTCCCTACATAATAAGCATCTTGTGCCATAAATGTGACGATATAATTTGTTGAAGGTGTGGCTACGTTTTGATGCCAGAAAACCTAAGACTTGATGGCTTCTGTCCACATGAGAGAGAYACAAGTGGTGTRGAACCGCTGACACTGACAGTAACGGTAAGTCATTTATTAGTAAACAACAAAATATAAAAAGATCTACTGTTATATATAAAACCTTCAATCATTTWCCCATCATGAATTGCRCAAAGGAAGTTATTCCGGGAGAAAGACCCTTGGAAATAAATTCGGAAAAAATAATTTCCGACCTTGCTAGGATTCGAACCCACGACCCTCGGATTTGTACTATCGATGCTCTAGCATCTGAGCAAGGTCAGACTGGGAGCAGGTCTRGGTGAAATAGATGTTAGGTTACGGTAATTACAATGTAAAGATATGAGTGCAAGGACCGCATATCATGGTCTATCTTGTTGTTATTAATTCGCTTCAACTGACAACTGACCCTAGTCAAGGTTTAGTCAGCGTGCGCTACGTCAGGGAAATTGACTCTTGAAAATTAATTTACTTTAAATCATTTCAGATATTTGGTGCGCGACATCTAGTTAAATCAGGACGTGGGATCACTTCACCTTTTGTTGAGATTGAGGTCGTTGGTGCACCGTATGATTGCTCCAAGTTTAGAACAGAAACTAAAGGTAACAATATCAGCGACAGCATTAATGAATATAACAAGGGCAACAACAGCACTAACAACGTCAGCTACGAAAGCATCAACATTGGCAGCCACAACGCGCAAAGGCCATCCTGAGATAGTAAAAACAGTTACAACAAAAAAGTGACAACATAAAATGAGGCTGCAGTATCGACAACAAAATAACTTTTTACTGTAATATTGTGATAAGACAACACGTAGACCAAGTTGTGATAACCGTCTGTATGTCCATATTGTATTTTAGTTGACAATGGTTTGAATCCAGTWTGGTTCATGACATTTGAAGCTGACATAATCAACCCACCTCTAGCGCTTGTACGGTTCGTGGTGTTCGATGAAGATATGTTTGGTGAACCTAACTTTATTGGTCATTCTACGTTTCCGATGGGCAGCCTGAGAACGGGTATTGAAATCCATGTTGTCATTCAATGTTCCTGCTCGATCTGACAGCTGTTTAATTAGCGCTTACTACGTTATTCTGCTTTGTAGGTTACAGATCAGTACCATTGAAGAATTCTTACAGTGAGGAGTACGAAATGTCTTCACTCCTTGTTCACTTTGACATTAGAAGTGCCAAGGTATTTGACTTTTTGATAGATTGATAGATTGATTGCGGGATTATTTGATTGATTGATTGATTGTATGATTGATTGATTGATTGATTGATTGACAGGGAGATGATGAAAATCTCTACGCCTCGATACAAGGACTACGTGATCGTGTTAATGAAATATCATCTCAGATGGCAACTGAGGAAAAACTCAACMGKGAAACAATGACTCAAATCAGCCAGAGAACCGAACTTTCTCAAGAAGAAGCGCAAGAAATCCGTAATCGTCACGTGTTGAACATGGAAACCCTGGGACGACAATTAATAGCCAACCAAACGAGCTTACAACGGTTACAAAGAGAGAGGGCGGCCAGGTACACTGAATAGTGTGTGTTCTTTGCCGTGTATCTCTGTGTTGTGGCAATGTTCAGGTTGGTTTTAAAATGCTATGTTAAGCTATCACCTTGTTAGTAATTTGCTTTGTCGAATGCAGTAATTGATGTGAATTTTGAGATGAACTTTATGAGTAAAAGWCGTCTTTCCGACCATTCTTGAATCAGAAAACTTGAATAAACGTTTCTACCTTCTCTTAGTACCTCTTGGTCTGAAGTAAGGTTACCTCATTATTCACAATACATTGAAAAACATCAATTTACACAAACATAAACTGGTTGACAGCCATTTTTGTTAGTTCACTAGTGTACGTGGCTGCTTGATAAAGATTGGCATTATGTTAAGGTTGATTTGTGGCTAATCAAATGCAATATTTAAAACTTTTGTATTTCATGCAGTTGCCTGTGTATTAATTTATAAGGAACAATGATGTTCTCATTATTGYATGTCGTATACTGGAGCCAGATGGAGTGATTGATATCCAGATAGAAAGAACGAATGGTTAAAGAAATGAATAAATGATGAATGAACATACAGCAATTTTCAGATCAACATATTAACTATGGATATCAACATATTAACTATTAATTATTATTAATTATGGATATTTGTATTTCCCAGGGTTCGTAACGATGACTCCAGTGATGTGTAATTAAAAGTTGTACATTTCATAGTAAAGTAATGATATATAGTACGAATATACCAATGATAGTTATAATACATGTCGGCATGCACGCTTATCTCGTGCTTATCTCAAAATTTTTGGAACAAATTTTCAATACACAACAGAATTATGTTGCTTCAGCACTTTGCACGAAACAAGATCAGTCGAATTGGTGCTCGTTGCTTCAGCAATGATTGATCATGTACACTAAACAAGGCAAGTTAACACCTTGCAATGTTCATTGCAGCCRTATGTTGCGTTTTCTTCTTTGTATGAGCTCCTTAGTCTTTATCGCAGGCATTTTTAGTCTCGGCCCAATCCCTCATGAGTTCCATTTTATACTGCATGAGTTTCTTGGTAACAGGGGTATGGGCAAGAAACTAAGAATGGCTGCAGGAGCTCGTGATTACGACAAGAAAAATATGTCACTAAAAAAACAGATTCTTTGTTACCTAAGGTATAGAATGTCTCTTTGAATTCGATCGTACAATCGTGRTCAAAAGTTTTGAGTATTATTTGAAATAAGTGTGCTCTTCCACAAGGCACATGTTATCATTCCTGAGCAATCATCCCCTTCTCCCACACTTGATGTTCATATGAGTATCTAGTGTCATTCACGGATTTCATTGACATTAATTGGACGGAATAAAAATTACAAATAAATAAGTGAACGAGCYGAAAAACTAGCCTGTAACTGAAAATTCTGTTTGTGCGCGGGCTAGRAAAAAAGGCACGACTCRAAGTTTGTCGATTTTGGYCTCGATTGTAGTTTATGTCATACATAACAGTTTTGCGCAAGATTTGCTGTTAAAAATTTGCTACTTTGTGTTTGYTCTTATTTGGTTTAATCATGAACCAAACAGGATTAGTAGAAAAGACTTGGTTAAAATGATGTTAGACATAGGTTTAAAGATCGCAAAATAAATGTAATTAAAAATGATTAACAATTCAAATGCTGAAAGTCTATTATGGATCGTGTCTTTATCAAAGAATTCTTGGCTCCATAATCCAGATGTGAGCAAAACACGAACGTAAAAGGCTTGAAGTAGTAAATAGACACAATTATTCACAACAATATTAATAATCAATGACATTAATAAATAGTTAGGATTTTATACTCATTTCATTCACTTGGACTATCATGTAACCGGTGCTAGTCAAGACGCCCAGGAAAACATTAAACGTTGCTAAAATTACTGACTTGTTTGTACAGTGTGAAAAATATTTTTTATWWARYRARMKAWGKAWGRAMGRRSGSGRKSRAWRWARSTSTGKRGATMT